CCAGCCTAAATGTGTGACCTCGTGTCCTATGTATAGCCCTGTTTATGAATAGATTTCCAGATAAAGGTTTGTACTGGCCCTGAATATATTTGTATAAAGTTATCATATCCCCTCTCAGGCACCGTTTTTCCAAACTAAACAGAGTAAATTTTTTTAACCTTTCTTCATAACTAAAATGCTCCATTCCTTTTATCAATTTTGTAGCTTGTCTCTGGACTTTTTCTAGTGCCATGATATCTTTCTTTAGAACAGGCGCCCAAAATTGCACAGCATATTCAAGGTGTGGTCTTACCAGTGATTTATAAAGAGGCAAAATTATATTTTCATCCCGAGAATTTATGCCCCTGTTTATACATGACAAAACCTTACTAGCCTTAGCAACTGCAGATTGACATTGCATATTGCTGCCTGATTTGTTATCTATAACAATTCCCAAATCCTTCTCGTGTGTGTTTATCCCTAATTCACTACCATTTAGTGTGTAAGTTTCTTGTGCATTCTTAACCCCGAAGTGCATAACTTTGCATTTCTCAATGTTAAATTTCATCTGCCATTTTAGTGTACAGTCCCCCAATCTATCCAAATCCCTCTGCAGCAAAGCAATATCTTGCTCACATTGTATTATTTTACAAAGTTTTGTGTCATCTGCAAACACTGATACATGGCTTTCAATGCCTATTTCAAGATCATTTATAAATATGTTAAATAGAAGTGGTCCCAAAACAGAACCCTGAGGGATACCACTTACCACTTTTGTCCAGCCTGAAAATTTACCATTAATTACAACTCGTTGTACTCTATCCTTAAGCCAATGTTCTACCCAAGAACAAGAATATTCATCTAGACCAATTTAATTTAGTTTGAAGACTAACCTATTGTGAGGAACCATATCAAATGCCAGTCGATATGTTGTAGAGCTGCCCTAATCTTATTGAAATTGGCTTTTTAAAAATTATATGTTTTAGTATGCCCCACTTGCTTTTGCGAGTTTATTTCAAAAGTTACCATATTGTGATCACTATTTCCCAAATGCTCCCCTACTTGAATGTTGGTTAAAAGGTCAACATAGTTTGTTATCACGAGATCCAGACAAGCATCCTTTCTAGTTGGTGCTTGTACCAGTTGTGACATAAAGGTGTCATTTAACACATTCAAAAACCTGATGCCCCTTGCTGAAGTACGAGTCCCTCTATCCCAATTTATGTCTGGGTAATTAAAATCTCCAATAATTGACGTGTTACCTCGATTTGCAGCTTTCTCAATTTGCTCTAACAGCTGTTCTTCCTCAATAATATTTACATTAGGTGGTTTACAACATATCCCAACCAATAATTGATTTCCCTTTGTTTGCCCCAAGCAGATATCTACCCATAAAGCCTCCACATTTTCCTCGTCACACTCCACATGCCTAAGATTTGACTTTAACTCATGGTTGACATATAAACATACCCCACCACCCTTCTTGTTTCTCCTATCCTTCCTAAATAACGTGTACCCATTTAAGTTAACTGCCCAGTCATGTGTCTCATCCCACCATGTTTCAGTTATGCCTATTATATCATATTGTTTAGTGTATGCTATTGCCTCTATTTCCCCCAGTTGTCTTTCTTTATTCGCCGTTTTACTCGTTTTAATTTCTTTGTTTTAATCTTATGTCTGATTTATATAACTTTCCGTGGAAGATGTAACAACGCGCAAATATCATCAAAAAGACATTTACTATGGGACGGGCTGACGTTTCTATAAATAAGAAATTTCATAGATATATACATCGAGTATGAAATATGGCTATTTACTAAATAATACATTGACAACCAAACCAAAAAATTTAGGTCATAAAGCCAGACAGAGTATATCACTTGGCAGAAAATGTTCACTTAACTGAGCATCATGGGTAATGTAGTTAGGAATCATTGGTGAGCTCAGAGCTCACCATCACAGAAGTAAACCCTCGTTATTTGCTGCACTAGAGATTCTGATACAGTTATGCAAATACAGTGCTTTCAGAATCTGCTTCCAAAACTATGGATTATAAATGGAAAATGGATGATATTACTAGGAATACCATATTGTTTCACTATGAACTTCACACACTTCTCCATCGTAAAAGATTTACAAATTTTATGAAAAAAATCTGTAAATTTGCTTAATTTTAATTTTTAAATTTCATGTAGCATTCTATACAAAGTTTTGGCGCTGTGTCCTAATTTAGTGAGATAGGTATTCAAAATTTCATTCAACAAAATTTCAATATGGTTTAAAGGAATACTCTCAGCTCCATAACAAATTTATTGCAATGATGTTGTCATGATGTGAGGATTTCTCGAGGTTTATCTTAAAAGGACACTCTACTGCCCGCATAAAAAAATAAACAATGAAAAATCATTATTTAGTAGCTATATATCTCCCATTAAATGTACATGAAATAAAAAACAGTTTACAAAAGCTGCAAACCTTTTCTTTACAGCCTTTGCAAGCCCTCCCCTTCTAACCCCGCCCAGACTTGCTGTGGCTGTCCAATCACAGACTCCCCAATGCAGCTCAATGAGAAGTCTTTGCAAGGCAGGTGCTCTGGGCAATTGCTGCCTCTTGAGTTTAGCTCCACTGAGCTAATTAACTAGAGAGTAACAGGACCGTTTGTCTGATTGAGAGCCAGGGGAATGTAAAAGGTTTAGTGTCTACAGGAGCCAATTTCTATCAAAATCAGCATTTTTTGTAAAATAAAAAGATGACACACTCTGTTCCTTATGTATTAAACTTTTCAAATGTACAAAAATCTCACTTGAAGGCAAGAAGGCGACTCTGTTTTGTGAATGGGTAGCTACTGATAGGCTGAGAATATCAGTTGCCCCTGTCCGAGACTTCTGATTCGATGCCTTGCACTGCAGCTGAAAAGCTGGCAAAGCTGTCCGGATTCCGTCATAAGACTTTAAGGTTAAACCGTTTGTTAAGAATTAAACTCTTGAAGGTAAGCTGGTGCCTGAGACCTCTTGGCACTATAACAAGTTCCCTCCAATGAAGCTGTTGTGGTGCCTGGAGTGTCCCTTTAAATATTGCAAGGGATGCACAAGGTGCAACCATTACTACATTGATGATGCTTCAAAGTGAAGTGTTTCTCACAAAAGCCACAGTCGAAGGGAATCCATACTACCAGTGTTAGATAAGAGAGATATAAAAAAGTTTAACCCCTTAAGGACCAAACTTCTGGAATAAAGGGGAATCATGACATGTCACACATGTCATGTGTCCTTAAGGGGTTAAATAAATAACATTCCAGCAAAACAATAATTCAAGCTGAGTTTATTGAAAGGAAATGAGACAAATAATACAGTTAATACAAGTAAATCTAAGAGCAGGTTTAATAAGAGGGGAGAAAATCGATTGTATGTTAAGTCTCACTCACAAACCATTCTTTGGGCCGCTGCCCAGAATTGTGACTCATTTTCTCAGTAACAGCACAAAGGTAGCTCGAACCAAGGTATCAGTGTATGCCGAAAGTAACAGCACACAGTGAACAAAAATATAAAAACAACGTTTAAAACTCCCAATCTGCTGCTCAAAATACCACAGAGCTGGCTGATGCATTACTCTAACAGTGAGTACTGTGCCAAACTGTGAGACCCAACCTTGACAGGGACAATAGACACTTTAGGTGTGTAGCCAAGTCTCTACCCGGTGCGTTTCGCCAACACTTGTTTAACCGTAGTGGTTACTTCAAGAGTTTTCTTTTCACATTGTTTTCTGGTGTAAACACTTAACATTATTTTGTGAAAATGCTGCATCAAGGACGGAATGATTTTAACTTACTGCTCCACCAGGAGGTAACGCGGTTCAGTAATCAAATCTAGCATGCCTATCATTGATACCACAAACTAGACTTGTGCATGCTGGAGAATATGGTTTGGCCAATTCGTACGAAATATTAATTTGATTCTAGTTTCTGTGGATCAAAATTCGTCCATGTGGTGTTTTGGCTCAGGCGGGTTTAGTCAACGTGAAGGTTTTGGGAAAAAGAAGTGTGGACAAACCAAAAGGGCACGACAATGGAATAAAGCAATATTATATATATATTTTGCAATACATTGATTGGCTCATTATCAGGGCCGGACTGGGAAAAAAATTAGGCCCACTCATTTTTCAATCACAGCGGCCCCCTGGGAATGGGGCGGGGCCAGATAGAGTGTGTTTTGTCATCACAAATGACAGCACGCCGCCTCTCAAAGTGAGCAAGTTGGTTCAATCCTCTTGCATGGAAGACCATGTGCAGAGCTTTGCTAAAGAGCTCTGGCATAAGAAAAAGGCCCTGTATTTGTTCTGCGCAGTGCACGCAAATTTAATAACATGCTTGCACTGTGTTTGCTTTTAACTTGAATCTGGTGTCTCCATAAGTGGGATACCAGAGGACAAAAGGGCTAGAAAAGCATATCGTGCAGGTGCTTGGCGCTGCTTGTGGGATTGCGTGTGTCAGGGCCGTCTTTAACAAGGGGCAAACGGGGCAGCTGCCCCGGGCCCAGTTGCTCCTGGGGGGCCCAAAGCAGCTGTCCCGTGGGCCCCCTGCCCGCAGCCAGGACTGAACAGCCCACCGGGATACTGAGAAATCTTCCGGTGGGCTGCGGCAAGTGAAGTAATCAGGGCCCCCGGCCCTTTAATTGAGCACCCGACCGGGCCCCTGTCTGTATGCCTGCTGGGAGGAAGTGAGGTGAGATCACTTCCTCCCAAGTAACAGAGTACCACTGGGGAGGAGGAGACACACATGGAAGTGGAGGAGAGGGAGGATGCACACACAGGAGGAGAGGGACTGAGGTAAACATGTTCATCAGACTCCCATCAACCTCAGCCATCCAGCTTCCACTGGACCCCAGGGAAGCCACCCTTCTCTAAAGGTAAGGAGACAAGAGGGTGGCTAGACTTAAATTGATATAAATGTGTGTATATCTGACTGTATGTGTGTATATCTGACTGTATGTGTGTATCTGACTATGTGTGTGTATATCTGACTGTATGTGTGTATATCTGACTGTATGTGTGTATCTGACTATGTGTGTGTATATCTGACTGTATGTGTGTATCTGACTGTATGTGTGTATATCTGACTGTATGTGTGTATATCTGACTGTATGTGTATATCTGACTGTATATGTGTATCTGACTGTATGTGTGTATCTGACTATGTGTGTATATCTGACTGTATGTGTGTATCTGACTGTATGTGTGTATATCTGACTGTATGTGTATATCTGACTGTATATGTGTATCTGACTGTATGTGTGTATCTGACTATGTGTGTATATCTGACTGTATGTGTGTATCTGACTGTATGTGTGTGTATCTGACTGTATGTGTATATCTGACTGTATATGTGTATCTGACTGTATGTGTGTATCTGACTATGTATGTGTATATCTGACTATGTATGTGTATATCTGACTATGTATGTGTGTATCTGACTATGTGTGTATATCTGACTGTATGTGTGTATATGACTATGTATGTGTGTATCTGACTATGTGTGTGTGTATCTGACTGTGTGTGTATCTGACTATGTGTGTGTATCTGACTGTGTGTGTGTGTGTATATCTCACTATGTGTGTATATCTGACTATGTGTGTGTATCTGACTATGTGTGTGTATCTGACTGTATGTGTGTATCTGACTATGTGTGTGTGTGTGTATCTGACTATGTGTGTATATCTGACTGTATGTGTGTGTATCTGACTATGTGTGTGTATCTGACTATGTATGTGTGTATCTGACTATGTGTGTATCTGACTGTATATGTGTATCTGACTATGTGTGTGTGTGTATCTGACTATGTATGTGTGTATCTGACTATGTGTGTGTATCTGACTGTATGTGTGTATCTGACTGTGTGTGTGTGTATCTGACTGTGTGTGTGTGTATCTGACTATGCGTGTGTATCTGACTATGCGTGTGTATCTGACTTTATGCGTGTGTATCTGTATGTGTGTGCGTTTGTATCTGGCTGTGTGTGTGTATCTGGCTGTGTTTGTGTCAGTGTATGTGTACCTTTGTGTCAGTGTTTATGTGTATCTATGTGGATGTATACCTGTGTCCGTGTACTTGTGTGTCAGTTTGTATGTGTACCTGCGTGTCTGTGTATGTATATGAGTGTCAGGTTGTGTAAGTGTGTATCTATGCGTGTGGCAATGCATACGTTCCATCATTCCAGTACCAACACTGCACACATATACACTACTACATTCCAACGCTAACACTGCACACAAATACACCACTGCATGTGTATCTGTGTTCCTGTGTGTATCTCAGTGTTTGTGTAAGTGTGCATCTGTGTGGCAATGCATACATCCCAGCATTCCTTCGCCAGCAATGCACACAAATACACCCCTGCATGTGTACCCGTGTGTCTGTGTGCATCTTAATGTGTGTCTATATCTGTGTCAGTGTGTGTAAGTGTGTATCTCTGTGTGTGGATGTGCCAGTGTTTTTATCTTTGTATCAGTGTGTGTGTGTATGTATGTATGTGTCTGTGTGTGTATACGCCAGTCTGTTTGTATCAGTCTGTGCATGTGTCCAGATGTGTGCATGTATCAGTGTGCTAATGTGTATGGATATCTGTGAATGTATGTCATACATCCAAGCAATCAAACACAACATGCAAACACACCCCTGCAAACACAAACATTACATACAAACACGCCCCTGAATTCAAACTCAAAAAGTATATAGAAACACACCCCTTCACTCTAACACCAATACTACACCGTACATGCACACACATACTCTATACAACAACATGCTCACATTCAAATTTACAAACATTGCTCACAAATACAGCCCTGCAAGAATGACCAAATGGTAGATCCCCAACTGGCATAGCATCGTGGGAATTGTACAACAGATGAGTATCTATCTTTTCTCCATTATTGTGCTAGATGGGAGGCCCAAAAAAATGTCTTGCACCTGGACCTTCTCTACATTAGTTATGCCACTGTATTGGGGTGGAGGGCATGACTGCATGCCAGGGGGTGGAAATGTGTGGAGGGGAAGGGCAGGATCCAGGGGGCCCAAGCAAATGCTTGCCCAGGGTCCAATCAATGTTAAAGACAGCCCTGGCGTGTGTGTAGAGTGAGCTGATTGTGGTGTGGTATTGTGTAAATAGGTCAGTTTCAGTCGTGTTTGTGGTGTAATATGTGTGGCTAGGGGCTGTAGAGAGTGTGTGTATAGTGGGGTTAATTGTGTATAGGGGATGTAGCGAATGTGTGCATACGGGCTGTAGTGTGTGTGTGTATAAGTGATGTAGTGTGTGTAGGGGTTGTAGAAAGTGTGTTTTTGGTTTGCTTCAAAGAAAGTTTTGCAAGGAGCAATGGGCAAAAATCCCAGTGGTAAGATGTGGCAAGCTCATAGAGACTTATCCAAAGCGACTTGGAGCTGTGATTGCCGCAAGAGGTGGCTCTACAGGGGGTGAATAGTTATGCACATTGAGTTTTTCTGTTATTTTGTCCTATTTGTTGTTTGCTTCACAATAAAAAAAAAAAAATCTTCAAAGTTGTGGGCATGTTCTGTAAATTAAATGATGCAAATCCTCAAACAATCCATGTTAATGCCAGATTGTGAGGCAACAAAACACGAAAAATGCTAAGGGGGGTGAATACTTTTGCAAGGCACTGTATATATATATATAAATTTCGATTTTTAGTATCATCGCTCCATTTGCTCTCCCTGTATTGCTCACTTCTCGTTTGATCTGTCAGTAAAATCAACATTTATTGTCTGTCCCCTATGCATCAATCCTCTTTTTTCCCCATCAATCATCTCTTTTTTTTTTGCAGCAGACGGAACTCGGGAAACAAATAAAACGGTTTGTCCATTTTCTTCGTATTGTGATGAATCCATATGGCACTTTTTTAGAGTTAAGGAATTTGGACGACCTCCAGATCAGCAAAAATTAGGATGAAATGCAGTTGATTTGAAGCAGAATGCGCAAGTTTACTACCATACCACCAACATAATATCGTGGATTACTACGCTTAAAGCAACAGAGAGTGCAAAATAGCGAGAATTGGGTCAGATAACTGACAGTTAGTGATGTAATGATGAACGGTTCGCCGCGGACTCATCATTGAGTAAACTTTGACCCTGTACCTCACAGTCAGCAGACACATTCCAGCCAATCAGCAGCAGACCCTCCCTCCCAGACCCTCCCACCTCCTGGACAGCTCACTAAGAATGCAGCTTCACAATGGATGCTGTCCAGGAGGTGGGATGGTCTGGGAGGGAGGGTCTGCTGCTGATTGGCTGGAATGTATCTGCTGACTGTGAGGTACAGGGTCAAAGTTTACTCAATGATGAGTCCGCGGTGAACCGTTCGTGGCGATCCGTTCGCGAACCGTTCGGCGAACAGTTCGGGACATCACTACTGACAGTATATATATGTATATTATATATATATATATATATATCATAACATAAATATTTCATTAAAACACTCTAATACTAAAGAATAGTTTGCTTTCTTGCGAACACAAATGTCCAGCATTGTTTCACACCTGACTACTCGTTAGCCATATTAATCTGAAAGTTGTTTACAAAACCAAAGTGTTGTTTGTCTCAATACAATGTTTTATGTAATTGGGTTTCATTAATGTAATAAATAATGGTTTTCCGGTCTCTCCTGCAGGGCACAGCTTAAATCATCTCCAACAATATTAATAAACAATATCGAGTTCTTTTGAGTTTAATACCACTTTCCCTGTCCTCCTCCCTTAAACTGTTATGTGAAAGTCGCAAGTGAAGAAGGATTATTGATGAGAAAAAAGAGAAATAAATAATTGGGGAAAAAGATACTTCATAAATATGTTTTAACATGTAGGTGGGATCAGTTTCCCACGCATCTCTCTAATTACTCGATGACCTTTCAATCACAGCTAAACATAAGAGTTTAAAGTTGTAACTGTGATTGCAAAGATACATTATTTTTTACTGGTAGCGTTTTTGGGAAGCTGCATTCCCACAGATACCAGCAGTATCTATAATTTTTTTTTTTTAAATCTATCTTTGTCTTTATGTGACAGAATATTTTTTTCCATCTTCGGTGGTAATATTTAAGACCCTTTCTGGAATACTGCAAGATACAAAATAATATTTTTACCCCTGCCCCCATACTTTTTTTTGTAAAGGCTGGATGAATAGATAAACAAATTGTGTAAATTTTCAGAAATATATTTATTAGCCATCTCCAAACAAGAATCTATCAAGTGAATGTATGTGTAAATATAAGTAACAATCTCTTTTCATGTTGTCTTTGGTCAGAATAAAATAAAATCATATTTCAGTTTACAAAAGAGGGATACGTTCTTTGAAATGTCTCAAAAATGCTAAGTCCTCCGTTTACCTAGATTGCGCAATTCTTTAAAATCTTTCATTCCGTTTTATAATCAAACATGTAGACAAAACAATAAACAGATAGAAAAACGACAAAACACACAAACTACAGGCAGCTTTTAAAGTGCAATATGAAAAATTAGATGAAAACGGATGATGGTGACACTTAAAAATGCTCACACAGCAGTCGACAAACGTCTTCATAGTGTCTTAGTGGGTTCTTGATTCATTTTTTTTTCTACCTGGGGAAAGGACATCACGGTTTTCCTTAACTCTTAAGTACCACAGGGTGTAACCAGCCTCCACCTTAAACAAAAATGATTACAAACATTACAGGAGGGTGTAGACTTGTGATAACCACGTGGGAGTTGGCCGCACTAATCTCTTTTTTTTTTTTAAGGAACTTTTACAAAAACTAGTGCTTGGGGCAACTGATTTGTCTTGGTGGATGAAATAAAATGGAGACATTGACATTGAATGAAAACAGAAGAAAAAGTGACAAGTTATAAGCTGAGAAGAAGCAAAATGTAAGTGTGCAAGAAGGCGATAAAGGAACAGGGCATTCAAGGAGAGAGGCAGATATGATTAGGTATGTAGGACAGGAGACATAGAAAGGTTGTGGAGTGTTCCCAAAGCATTGCATTGGCTCACAGTATGAAAGAGGTGTCTGGTTTTAACATACAGACTGACGACTGGGGCATAATATGTGACGTGGGGGATGGGGAAATAGAAGAACTTAGAATTGTCCAGGTTTTCTACTTAAAACCCATAAGCGACTATACTTCTTTATACATCCTCACACTCACATACAAACCTTGATAATTATATTCATCCTGATTGGTTCATCCGTATTTAATCAGTTCCAGAAACCTCAAGTAGTAAGCAAAACTTTGATTTATTTAATTAGTAGACTTGAACACGGTAAGACAATATAGCTCGTCCGATCAATTATCCCCGAAAGCAGAAAATTTCAACCC